TTTCGCTGGTGCCCTCTCTTGCCGGTGGCTCACATCCCGCCGCTGGAGGAGGAAGGGGAAAAGGGACACTTCCTGTTTGTCCTTTGCTCAAATATGAGTCTCCTTGCTATGTCACTTCCTGCCTGGATTACCACTTCTCTGCTACATTTCCCAGAATCCTCTTTGACTCCTAGTCCTGTCTAGCTTGCTGTTTCATTGGCCAAACAGAACTTTATTTAACAATCAATGAGATAAACATACACAGAAGTACTTTCCCCTATATATAATATATATAATCACATAGTTCTTTATTGATTATATATAATTATCACATAGTTCTTTATTGATTATATATAATCACATAGTTCTTTATTGATTATATATATATAATCACATAGTTCTTTATTGATTCTTTGGGAATTTCACATCATTCACTCCAATCCCAGTTACCTGCCATTCCCTCCATATCCACCCCTCACCCCTACAGTGTCTCCCCCCAAAGAAACCCCCCAAATTAATTAAAAACAAAACAAACAAAATATCCCCCTCACTCCCCTGTCTTTCTTATCTCTCCAACACCTCTGCTTTGGTCCTAGTGGCACTGGGAACTGTAGTGTGTCACACAGTATACCCTTTTATCCAATCAGCCCCACCCTAAAATGTTCATTGCAGTGAGCTATTAGTCTGGTCCAAGGCCTCTGGCCTCTGGCCTCTGCCCACCATCATCACGGGACCCTCACTGAAACTCCTCTCAGATACCCTGCTGTTGCCCCAAGCATTTTTATCCCACAGGACCAATCCCTTCACACACAACAGGATCAAGGATGAGGTAAATGTTAGGGTAGGCCAACCCAAGGCCCAGGGGATGGCTCTGGGTGGTAGCTGAGCTGGTCAGTCTAGGCCCCCTGGGACCCCACACCCCTCAGGCAAAGGGCAGAGTCAGTTCTCCTAGGTCCACGGCATCGGAGCCAGCTCTCCCACGCCCTGGTGAGGGGTAAGGCCATCTCTCCGAGTACAGGGGCCAGCTCTCCCATGAGGGGCAGGACCAGTACTCCCGCTGCAGTGTCCAGCCAGGAGCAGGACATCTATCCTCGGGCGAGTGAAGGGCCGGGCCTGCTCAGCATGGCTTTGGATTTCAACACACATGGTTTCTATGGGATGATATGGTGACACGGAGCTAGGACAACACCAACACAGACCCCAGCTGCAGTGGGACCACTGGCCCAGAAATGGCTATAGGTAGCAGCAGCTCAAGCCTGGATGTCACCAAGGCCCTGGGCAGTGAAGGTCACGCAGAGGGCTGATCCCAGGCATCCACACAGTCCTTGGTGGTAGCAGGAACCACAGACATCAACTCAGACCCTGGCTGCTGCAGGGCTATGGACCCAGACATAGCATGGCCCTCTGCAGCAGCCAGTCAGGATGACACCATGACCCCATGTGGCAGCTCAGGCCACTCAGATCTGTATGGCCCCAGATGCAGCATGACCTACAGATACCCAGCTGGCCTCAGGTGACAGCCCAGACCCTGGGTATTTGCCCACCACTGCCTGGGCATGGACATTACCATGGCCTCCGTGACAACACATGTCAGTCAGATCAGCATGGCCCTGGCTGGTGGCAGCATGACTCATAGATACCAACATGGACTCAGGTGGCTGACCAGACCCCGGGCATTTGCATGACCTTCAGGGTTACTGAAGACATGGACATCAACACAGACCCTGGCTGCTGTAGGGCCATGGAGAATTTCATATATAAGGTTAAAAAAAAAAGTCAAAAACAAAACAAAACAAAACAAGCCACAAAAACAAAACAAAACAACAACAAAAAAAAAAAAACAAAACTTCAGGTCTGGTCACATAAATATTCTAAGTTGGGTGAATAGGAAGTATGGAAGGGTTTTTGTTGTTATTTAATGCATCTTCTTTATTTTGAAAAGTATACTGTCTTTCACATTCGAGTAGATTTTATCTAGCTATGGAAAAGTTAAAGTTTTGTGTATTTACTGTTGGGGTATTTCGTTTAGGACTTTTAATTATAGTATGATTAATAATAACAGTGATGGCAGCATATTTTATTTACGTGTGTGTGTGTGTGTGTGTGTGTGTGTGTGTGTGTACACATGTTGTGTGGGTGCATACAGAGGCCAAGAAAGGCACAATCACTGGAACCGGACTTACAGGCAGGTGTAAGTTGCCCTAAGTGGGTACTGAGAACCAAGCCATGGGTTCTATGCAAGAACAGTCATAGCTCTTGGCATCACACTGAGCCATCTCTCCAGCCCATTTAAAGAGCTGCCCTGATTCTCCCCCACCCCCTTTCTCTCCCATTTTTATTTTTGAGACAACGTCTCATGTAGCCCAGGCTGGCCTCCAAGGCACTGTTACAGTGAAGAATGACCTTGAATGTGTAATCCTCCTGCCCCCTCCCACCAAGTGCTATCATCACAGCCCTGTACCCACTGCTCCTGGCTCTTCCTCTGTGAGCTCCTAAAACAGTTTTCTGTTTAGGCTATAACTCAGTGGTAGAGAACTTGCCTAGCATATGTTGTGCAAAGTCCTGCTACAATCTCCAGCAATGAGGAAAAAGAAAGACAAAAGAAGAGAAAGTGGTGATTCCTCACTGGGAAAAGAGTCTGGTTATGTCTCATTAAACCTGAGAGACTAATTGTTGTTGCTTTTTTGTTTGTTTGCTAGAGACAATGTCTCACTAGATAGCCCTGCATGACCTGGAACTCTCAATGTAGACCAGGCTGGCTGTGGAATCCACAGAGGTCTGCCTGTCTATGGAGTGCTTGGATTGAAAATTTGTATCAAGCCTTTAGTCTCAGCACTCAATAGGCAAGCAAAGGCAGGCGAGTCTCTGAGCTCCAGGCCAGCCTGGTCTGCATAGTAAATTCCAGGACAGCCAGGGTATGTAGAGAGACAGCCATGATTTGAGTGGGAATGGCTTATATGGGCACCCGCAGTCCTTAGTTGATGTTTAGGAGGTATGGCCTTGATGGAGGAGGTGTGTCACTGGGGTGGGCTTTGAGGTTCCAAAAGCTCATACCAGTCTGAGGCTTGTCTTTCTCTGCCTGCTGCCTGTGAAATCAGGATGCAAAACTCTCAGCTACTGCTCCAGCACCATGCCTGTCTGATCCCCACCATGATGACGACGTACTAACCCTCAGAAACTGTAAGTAAGCCCCCAGCTAAATGCTTTCTTTTATAAAGGTTGTCAGTGGTCACCTGTCTCTTCACAGCCATAGACCAGTGACAAAAACAGAGACTTTGTTTCAAAAACCAAAACCAAGTGTATACCACCATATACAGCTAGATACCTTGATTGCTAAAACTTACATTTTAATGACAGTAATAACATTTTCCAGATGATAATAGCATTTAAAGTTTTATTGTAAAAACAATATAACAACATTAAATAAAAATATTGAAAAAATGTCATTCATAATGTCACCACCTTAACAAATATTTTCATTTCTGAGTATTTCTTTGTAGACTTCTTCCACACACCTAATTCATTTATATCCATGCAGGCAACACTCAACTGTGCTTTCTGGCACCAGAATGTCTTTAAAATAATTTGACAATAGGAGCTGTCATTTCTCATATTTACACAGGTCATATAAACTTAAGGTCTTAAACTTCTCAAACACTAAAGAACTAGAGCGTCCTCTATCTTGCAGTCTTTCGGGGAAAACACACAGAACCCTCCACGGAATGAGATGGAAAATAAGTAAATGATGGGAATGTTTTTCCAGGCATGTAAATTGTCCAACCATCATGGGACTTTTTGTCAGTTCTCAAGAACCAGAAGAAAGTGTATTTGAAGAATGGCTTCGATCTGTGTCGCC